ACGTCTTGGTAGTTACTGTGGAAAAAAGACGCCCTTCGATGTTTATTCCTCTGGACGTCGCATGTTGATAAAGTTTCGTGCCAACCGTGATGGTGTCCAAGCAAACAGAGGTTTCAAAGCACATTTTGAGTCTGTAAAACCACGTAAGTTAACAGCTGTTTCACTTTAATTATATACAGTCGAACCTCCATAAGCGGCCACCCAAAATGCCAAGCCTAGGTGATCGCTTTCGAGAGCTTAGATCATGTTGGGTCACAGCATTTTTGCCTCATGAGCGTATGGCGACTGCAATGACTTGTTTTAAATCTATTATTTATGTAAAAAGTCGATTTCGAGAAAACATCCGATACTTCCCATTGCGAATTTTCCGTCTCTTTTACTACCCAGAGATGCCGGCGATAATGTTACAACAACTTATTCTCCCGAATTTCCACCCTATTATCTCGGTTATTTGGTCGTTCACGGGAGGTTAAAAGCAAAAGAAAATTTCAAATTTTAAGCTTTAAAAATTGGTCGCGGTCGTTTACAAGAGGTGGTCGCTTACAAGAGGTTCCGAATAATATAGTGATATGACTTGAAAACTTTTGGTATTTTGGAAAACTGGTCGCCGAGGAGATGTTGTCGCTAACGAGAGGTGGTCGCAGTCGGAGTTTCGACTGTAGTTTTTTAGGCTAGTTTATTATGGCCCTAGCTCTCAGGAGTCTCCACGCTTTCTGTGGCTCACTGGCAGAGCGTCTGGTCTAGTACTCGGATTCCTTTTTCCAAGTATGCCTGACAATGTCACTAACAGTAAAATCATTTTCTCGAAACTAAAGTTGGCAATTGATTGTCAATTCGTGTTGCTATTACACTGAAACCCCGGATCACCAACGGGCATGAAAATTTGGCCCTATTACGCTCTTTTTCTCATAAGAATATTGTTTTTTTTCCGGTTGAGGCTGCATATTCTTCTTTTACTGCCGATTTTAGCCTGAAAATATTCTTGTGAATATCAGTTAGATTATAGCGTGTGACATTTCTGTTTTCGAATGTATTTCGTGTCTGGATGGTGTTAAAGTTATTTTGGAGCCAGCTTGCAGGCAATGAAGCTTGATGTCAGCACATAACTTCTTGCAAACTGAACATTTACGCATCGAATATAAGAGTCTCTACGCTTTCTGTGACTCAATGGCAGAGCATTTGCTCTACTACTCGGATTCCCTTTTCCAAGTATGCCTGACAATGTCACTGACAGTAAAATCATCTTCTCGAAACTAAAGTTGACAATTTTCAGTGGGCTCCATTTCAGTTAGTCTCACAGTTGTTGTCAGATTGTAAATTCGTGTTGCTATTACAGTGAAACCCCGTTAACACGGTCACCAACGGGCCATGAAAATTTGGCCGTATAACGCTCTTCTTTTCATAAGAATATTGTTTTTCCGGCTGAGGCTGAATATTCTTCTTTTTCTGCCGATTTTAGGCTAGAACATTCTTGTGAATATCAGTGAGATTACAGCGTATGACTTTTCTGTTTTCGAATGTATGTGGTGTCTGAATGGTGTAATTAAAGTAATTTTGGAGCCAGCTGGCAGGCAATGAAGCCTGATATCACTGAGCACATAACGTCTTGTAGAACAGCGTTTTAGCATCGAGTATAGACCTATTGCTGTTTTTGTTGCTTTTTGGCTAGGTTTGCCGTTTAGAGAAAAAAAAGAATTTTTATACAAAGCTATATTCTTTTCAAAATCTCAGCCTCGGGTTTATTCTTAAAATATTCTTAAAATTTCGCAAATTTCAGTCTGGATATTTTTATAAAATATGTTCTTAAAAAAAAAAGAGTGTAACGGGGTGGCCGTAATTTCATTACTGGTCTAAACTGATTGACGTCGTAACAGATATATCACAATTGCACTTCTATTGTTCTTAGTTTACGATGCGGAGCATTGTCTACCAGGAAACACCAACAATCTGAATCTGAAATTAACTGGTTCGTATGGAACTCTACAAAGCCCCGAGTACTACCCCCCGGAATTGGTGTGTGATTGGCTCATCACTGTCCCGGAAGGGAGGAAAGTAGAGCTCAGCTTTGAAAGACTTGACTTGGATTTTGAAACCGCCGAGCATGGATGCGAGGATTACGTGCAGATTCGTGATGGAGATTCAAAGCAGAGTGATACGATAGAGTATTTCTGTGGTAATGTAATTCCAAAGCCCTTGAAGTCCAGCGGTCGGTATATGTACATTCGTTTCTGTGCTGACAGTGTGTATGACACACCACGCCGGGGATTCAAGGCCACATTCAAAGCCGTCAAGGAATTCCGTAAGTTGGTAATTTTAAAACTTAGGTAATATAACACCCTAGAATGACTTCACATTCTCACAACAAGTAAACTATCATAAAAGTATAACGTTCCTATTAGGCTTTCAGATGGTTGGCCGTTTGAAACGAATTCTGGTTTCGAAAGACTCTTCTGCCAATTTTTTTTCCAGTTAAAGTGCCACTAACCCCCCAAATTTTTTCCGCTAATATAAATCTCCCTCTTTTCCTGATCACCACTGCGAAAAAGTTATCCTTGTAGCTATTTTCGTTAATTTTCTATGAATTTTCAAAGTTCACAAAATTGGCCTTTTACATATTCACAACCGAGGAATAGCGGAGAATGGGACGAATTGGCAGCTTCTGACGTCATTTCGGGAATAACAATGTTTTGCTTCTGAGAAGAATATATGCGAAGATGCATGCGATAGTGTGTGTCAAAATCATTGCAGAGTGCAAGAAAGAAGTGTTGTTGGAGTCTGTAGCAATACCGGAAGCTGAGGATAGAGTATTCCTCTTCATTCATTACGTCTATATCTCGATGACACTCGAACAGAAGCGAGAAAATGACCAAAGAAGTAGGCTGATATGCGCCAAGCTAAGGAGCAAGTCATCGAGGAGAGGAGTTTTTCGATCTAGGGTTCGTTGCTACTGTAAAAACCTAGAGATTTTCATGGCCTGTATATTCTTCTCTAGCTTCTCGTGGAAAGCTTGACATTGTCAATGTACTGCATAAGACATGAATTTGGGATAAGCTGGGAGCCATCTGACTCTTCCTAGCTCAAACGATCCATCGCATTGAAAGCTTCTTTTTCGGGGGAAATTATGTCTGCATCTAAAAATGTTTTAACACTCCGAAATCCGCATGTTCCGTAAAGTCAAATGACCATTCTTCGTGTTCATTGACATCTCTATAACAGCCATTATTTATACTTTTATAACGCAGATAAACCGGGAAATTGTCAATCCAGGCCTGACTTGCAATGCGCAGGGCTCGCCGGACTGACGACCTAAACTTCGAAATGGAGAGAAAATACATACATCACAGTCGTCTAAATCATAGCTTATATATAGACTCCGAATTGTAATGCTAGATAATACAGTTCTTTCACTGAAAAATCTTTTCACTTTTTGATAGAATATGAATCACAAACAGTAACCCTAATATGTTTTGACAGCGCTCGAAGTTCAGTCAAACGTCTCGCTCTTGAGTGCTTTAGCTCGGTTTCACTAGTAGCCCGACCCAGGTCCCTCTTTTCGCGGTCGTACACATAGAAATTACAACTTTAAACGCCCGTAGAAACGCGGGGATTTTATCAGTCAAAATATTTTTCGCTGAAGTAACTGGGGAAACTAGTAGATTTTTTAAAAGGAAAAAAAATTGGGGGTAAGTGGCACTTAACATTTCGTCTCGGGAAACATTGAGATGCTCTGGAAACAAAATTCACTGTTCCCCAAGGGACCAGTCATTAAGTGATTTGTCATAAAGCAAAACAAATGGGTCAAACCGGTGGAAAACAAATAATCACTTTATTGACAAATGACGTGCCACAGCGGTCAACATTTCGCGCGCGGGTGACAGTGAACTGTTTCCCGTTGGACGTCATAGTTTTCGCAGTATTGCCCGCCCATGGCATTTGGCGGGAAACAGTTTCATTATTAGATGTCCTGTGACCATGAACTAGCCTGTGAACAGGCGCGCTGTAGCGGGAAAAACGCCAGCTACATAACAATTCAAGTTAACTTCAACAGCTAAGACTGATGGACACTAAACGTTTATTTCTTTTCTCGTTGACCTCTCTGCATCAAATCGTTCTAAAGGACGTCATTACGGTAGAGGAACAAATCCATGAAGGTCCGATTGCTCTTTTCTTTGATATGAAAAAAATAAAAAAAACTTTAAGTTCATAGGTAATCACATGATTTTGAGTGCAATTTCGAATCAATAAGCACGAGTAAATTTTTCAAAGGCTAACAAAGTTGTGCTTGGTATTCCAAAACTCTTCAAAAATTTCCGAAAATATTCGCAAAGCTTCCAACAATGTTCCAGAGTCTTCGGCCAACTTCGGGTGATCTTCGACAACCTTTGGAATAGTTCGAATGATTGTTGGAGTTGTTCGGGAATGTTCGGGTGATGTTCGTTGCTCTTCGGAAGAGTAGGTAGTCTTCGTAAGTGCTCGCAAAGAAAGGAAGGTAGGCCTAGGGGTGAACTTCGACCACTTTCGGTAGTTTTCGAGTGTCTTGGTTCTAAATTCAGATATCTGCGTTGCAATTTACACTGGTGTTTCAAATTTGCACTGGTGTTACATGAAAACTGCACTCCTTTTTAACCCATCAGAATCGAGTAATTTTGTAAGTGTACTAGTAGTTAAAGGAACAGAAATATATGTAATTCTGCTTATTTCTGTCATGTTTTGAGACTGTTTCTAACTGGAATTCTCTTAATTCTGCTAATTTGGTTGTTTTCAACTACTTCCCTTTAGCTACTTTGGCATTAACGGTTGGCTTCGTTGTCGGTGTTGCAGTCTTAGTTGTAATAATTTTCTGTGTCGTTCATCACGTTAAACGAAAAATGACGCCAAACAGAGAAGCCGGTGCGGAAATTCCAATGTCGACTACCACTACTTCAGCTTCCCGTTCTACACAGCAACCTCATCAACCTGCGGGAAACACATTCTCATCTCCTTCAGTAGGTTATGCTCCAGTCCCGACAAATCCACCACCCCCAGAGTACCCATACCCATTAGAGTCACCACCCCCCTATCCAACAAAAGAAGCGGAACCACAGTACCCACCTCCAGGTCAATCATATCCATGGCAACAGAATATTGGCAGTGCACCAACCCCTGAGAGTCCGTAAGCTGTGGGGTTCTGCTTCCAAACACCGGGGGACTTCGCTTTTACACCTCCTAGGAGCCGGTTTGTAGAGATTATGTTTATCCCGGTATTAGCGAGCCAACCTGGGCAGAACTGCAAACTGACCTCCGCTTAGGTTATACAAACTTCCTTCACCAATAGACTGTTCTTTTCAGAACTATTCTCACTCTGTCGGACGGTTACTACACGAAATACTGACACTCCTTGGCTCAAACTTGCCATAACAATGAACAAACAAAGCTAAAATAACAGTAAAAAGGATAATTTTATATTTAAATTGGTACATTCCAGGGGTTTCATTAAGGGCCGGGCAGCCTGCAAATTGACCGGCTGTGAGGATGATTTTTGCCTGCCTGGTTTGACCATCTAGCGGAAAGTTTTTGTTTGTATAGAGAATTTCAATTCGAATAGTTTTGCCCGACTATGAAAACCGGTCGTCCCCCCACCCCCTGCTGAAAAAGTTAATGAAACCACTGGTGCATTCGCCTAGGAATAGTTCTGGTGCGTAAG